ATCGTTATAGCCAAGACAAAAGAAAAAATACTCATGAGCTTGGCCTTGTGTCTATAGTTAAAGCAATGTACAAAAAAGCAAGTTTGGCAGAACCAGGGCAATACCATGGACACATCAGCCTGGACAGGTCTGGTTTGGGTAAGGGAATACTTGGTGGCAGGGTGAACCTCTCCCTTGAAAATCCCCAGATGCTATAGATGTCCAACTTTGAAATATGGGTAACATTAGCCATAAGAAACTAGCCCCAGAAACAGTAAAGAAAAAGTAAATTATAAATATCATTAAAAGTAGGAGAATAAAGATGTCATTACGGTCAGAAACTATTCAAAATCCATATTAAATGTCATAGTTTATAACGTAAGAGCATGATCTGCTAAGCTTAGGAATCTCTCTTTTCAGGAAAAGGTATAGAATGGCAAATCATATGGTCCTCCACTTCCTGAGGGCTGTGTAGTGCTGATGAGCACAGGCAAGAGCAACAAGGGTTCACCAGAGACTAGCTCTCAGTGCCTTCTGTCAGGGATCTTGGGGAACCACGTGGATATGGGCCTTCTATGGTTTGGGATGTTTTGATGAAAGCATGTACAAAAATGTGGGACCCCACTGTGGCATAAAGCCCCTCATAGATGAAAGGCTGGGCAGAGGACAGCTACTCATTATGACTACTATTGAGTACTGAGAACACATTCTTAAAGGGCAAGACTGCTCTAGGGTCACTGCCATCAAATGACTAGTTTTTGACTCATCTTTAACTGAACACTTCAGGTTTCAGGCCATTATCGGGCTTACCTGTTAAAAGTGGCCACAAATTTCAGGCTTAGGTATAACTGATACAAAAATAAGTTACTTTATTCCATTTGGTTTCACATAGTTAGAGCTAAATCAGTGTAGACCTATGTGAGAATCAAGGCATTTTTGAACGTTCAGGGAGAAAACAATGGCATGTAGGTTCATGACCAGACCATTCCCTAGTACTTCAGCTCATGGAGAGCCTGGGTTTGGGGGGGTAGTAGAGGATCTGACATTGCTTTGAGGTTCTCAGTGGAATGACCCTATTCCCTAAGTCTCTGTGAGAGACAGTGTCATTCTCCATCCTCGGGTTCCCTCTCTCATCTTCAAGTTATCCCTAATAGCATCTAACGAAACCTCAATGAAGCTGATGAAGATCCCAGAAAATCATAGCTTAAAAGGACGAGTTCAAGGAACTGGCAATATTGAAACTATTAAACTTGGAAGTATACGTGTTAGGTCTCTTCAAATACATGGAAGCTGCTGAGTAATGACAAACTATGCATTGTCCCATATTTTTTGGAAAGAAAAGATGAAGTTCAAACATAGCATTTCCTCAAAGCAAGAAGAGCGTTAATCAGTAATTTGCTCTCCTTTCTGAGATGGTTGGGCTCAGTGCTCTGGTTTTATCTTACTGCATTGCAGATAACCTCAAATCTAGTGACTTAAAACAGCAACCATTTTATATATCTCATGATTTGGTGGGTCAGGAATTTGGGCAAGGCTTGGCAGAGTGATTCTTCTGCTCTAAGTAACTGAGGTCACTTGGTGGTGGTGATGGTACTCAGCTGGTGGATGGGCTGATCTGGGGAGCCCCATATGGCTTTATTATCATATCTGGTGCCTTCGTGGAGATTACTGCAAGGCTGAGTTCGTCTAGGATGGCTGACCAAAGAATTAACATGTAGCTTCTCCAGTATGGCAGTCTCAAAGTAGTAGAGCTCTTATTGGAAGCTCAGGCATTCTATGGAGAGGATTTCAAAAGAGAAGAAGTGAAAGCCACCATTCTCCCAAGGAATGGACCTTAGAACTTGTAGCATTGTTTCTATCCCATTCTTTCGGTCAAAGCAATCATAGAGCCTGCCTAGAGTTGAGGGGTGGGAAGGTGGACCCCACTTCTCAATGGAAGCAGGGACAACAATTTTATGGTATTCTATAATCTACCACCTTTAGGTAAATAAACTCTGATTGTGATTATTTTTACACTGTCTAAACTTGCTGTAGTTTTCCACTGTCTAAACTTGCTCAAACCAAAAAGAGGAAAGAACGCTTTCTGTGTTATAGGTACTTGCTTTTTACTAACAGAAAATACTCATTAGGACCCCTTATATTTGAATCAGTTTCAGGGCCAGTGAAACATTGCTTAGATAATTACTTAAGTTCTAGAACAATGATTAGTGTGAAAATTAATGGGGGTTCATTAATTGTTATCAGCAGCAAGCTGACCAAGCATCTTTTTGAAAATGGCCATTGTCTTTGGAGCTAAAAAGTGTTCAGTGTAACTCCTGGCACTTGAGGTGAGCACAATCTCCTAGTTACTCATCCTACCGCAACCGAGCCCTTTGTTTTTTCTTCTCATGTAGTTATGTGTTTGTTTTTATAGAGTGATTTCTGACAGATACGCTCAAAAGATGTTTGTCTTGTCTTGTTTTCATTCTTCTACAGAGACTAAGAAGGTAAAACTGAGTCTAAGTGGTTCGAAGTGCTGAAAATGGAAGGAGTATCTCTAGAAGCATTTGGCTTTCTTGGGTACTGAGTTGGAGAGCTTGGCCTTTAAGAGAAGTGAGAATGGCCCTAGGAATAAGATCCTGGGTATTCATCAGTCTCTGCCAATGGTAAATACTTGGTTGCCCAAATTTCAGCTTCTAGGAACTTGTCTGTTGTATACTTGTATCAGTCTTTGAAATGGACAGCTTCCCTTGACATGCTACCTTTCTCACTTTGTATCCACTTGGGCCTTGATACATCTCATTTCCCATTCCTAGACCCCAATGTGGCCACGGTCCCAAGCTTACACCTTCCTCACTGACCTGAGTTAGGCATTCCACCCCATACTCTCTTGGCCTCGTCCCTCTTTGACTCACCCGCTATAGTTCTTAGTTTTGATCCAGTTTTTTTGTTTGTTTGGTTTTTCTGTTTTGTTTTTTTTTAATTAGCAGTCTTTATTAGCTTTTCTCCACAACACAGGGCAGAAGGAACAAATTCTCATTCTTGGAAGTGCTCCAACTCTGACCCATACTTCTGTGGCTGAAATCTCTGTAGATACTGTCTTACAAATGATCTCTGAGTCATTATGGTGAATATGGAGATCCCTGCCCCTTCTTGCTGGATATTGACCATCTCGCCATGCCAAGCTAATTGCAGTTCCCCAGAAAGGTCATGTTCTTTCTCTTCTCTAGGCTGTTACATGAGCTCTTCTTTGTCAAATGATCTCTATCTTACCTCTTGCTCTTTTTTTTTCATGATTCAATTTGAATTCATTCTCCATTATTGGAGACATTAAGGGAGGCTTTTTCAGACATTTTTTTTCCCTCTTTATTCCCATGGTATGCTGGGCAACTCTCAATTAACATAATATCTCATGTACCTTACCTATTTATATATCTGGCCCCCTTCTCTGGATGTGAGTTCTTTCTGGGTAAGGACCATGGGACTTTTCATTGTTGAATTCCCAGGCTCTAGGATGATGCCTAATGTTCAATAAATATTTGTTTAATTCATGCTTACACAATTAATTAATGCATAAATGTTAACTAGATGGTTGGAATAAAGAATGGATAGGTGGTTAAAAGGTTGCCTGGCTGGCTAGCTGGCTGGAGGATGGCTTGATGGTAGAAAAGATGAATGAATGGATAGTTGGGTTGGTTGACTACTAACTTTGTAGTAATATTGGAAGAATGTTCATAAATGACAACTTTACATCTGGAATTTTGTGACTTTTGATTGCACAAACTCCATTTCCTTCCATATTCTTATTATAAATTTGTACATATTTTTGTTGTTATACTGCAACTCTATGAAGAGTCTTGAAGTTGATTTTAATTCAATATTCTTAAAAACTTTGAGAGACAAAAGATGTAAAGAAAATACAGTAAACCAGGGGTTGATTTCACCGCTTGCTCCCATCTGCAGCTTGACTTGCCATGATGTGTGGCTTCCTAGACCTTTTTAGGGTCTTTATCAACAGGCTGGAAATAATTACATTTCTTTCTTTTACAGGGTTGATGAAGTGAAATTACTTGGAAAAAATGTATTCATACAATCTCTCTCTCTCTCTCTTTCTATCTATATCTATCTATCATCTATATCTATCATCTATCTATCTATCTAATCTATCATCTATCCATCCATCCATAATCTATCATCTATCTATCTACCTATCTCAATTTCTATCATCTATCTACCTATAGTTTTGCATGTGTTGTTAAGTTTTGCTTCATATATCCCCAGAAGAATCTTGTGGAAATGTAAGTATTATTACCCCTCTTTGGTCACTGAAGCTATAAACACAAATAAAGATTTGTTAAGAAGCATAGAGTCCTAGCAGAGGCAGAAACTAGAATTCAGAGTCTCTGGTGCTGAGATTCATTGCTTGTTACCATTGCTAAAATGATTTTTAGAGTCGCAGCATTATTATACAGTGTAGAATCCCAGCTATTAGAGGGGATGGGCTGGTTCTTAGGCATGATGAATAGGTTTTATTTTGAGTGCCAACTCTAAATCAGTTGGTAATGGCTGCCTGGAGTGCTGCATTGAGGAGAGTTCTGAGGCCCTATCTGAGTTGCAATTGTTCAGTGATGTTGCCATGAATGCAGGATCTCCCATACACACTTGTCATATGTTTTCCATCTTTGTTCCAAGACCACAAAAGGTGTTCATTATGATAGGTGTCCATCTGGTTTGTCTACTGAGTCACTATAATGATTCATGAGATCATTCATGAAAAAGTACCTACAGAGATTTTGCAGTTTCTGGAAGCTGGTTTTGAACTAAATACATAAACTTCCTCCTTTGATGAATGTGGTTAATAAAATGTAAAGAGAGCAGTGAGGAAAGCTAACTGTGCCTGAGTACCTATTAAAGTCATTTCCTTTAAAGTAGAAATGCTTGTTTTCCTAGCCAGGGTTGGTCATCTACTGCTAAGGAAGGGTGGTTTCTTGACCACCTGTGGTTAGTAGTATGTTGTATTGAAAATGAAGTGTTCACTTTTATGCAGATGCAAACATAATCACATTAACTTTATTTGAAGCTTTGATTACATTCTAGTTAATAAGCATATACTATATTAAGCCAGTTTAACCATATAGCAAAATGCATTTCATTTTAAAATTGAGTATTGGAAAGCTTGGCAAATGCTGGGATTATTAATTACTTAATAGAATTAGGTATGATGCACATATGGAGGTGACCACTAACCCTCATGGATCCCTGGTGCCCGGAATAGTCTCAAAGGCTTAGAAATGTGGATATGCAGATCCGAAAATTTCATTCTGGCTTTTCCCACTTTGTTTTTGTTTTTGCTAAGAATCATACCCTAGGCATATCAATGGATAATTTTGATCATAAATCAGCCTTGCAGATAAATCGCAGATAGCCTTGCCTGTTGGAACCTTGGAGCATAACACAAATGATGTCAACATCTTCTGTCATTGGGTCTGTGTTAGCATTGGCTACTTGCAAAATGGACTCTGTATTACCTTTTAGCATCTGTGTCCTGAGCTGAGGTCTCAACATGAGTGATATGAAGGACAACAGGGAATTAGTGGCTGCCCATCCTTCTACATGTCTGGCCACTAAATCTGCCAGATTCTCCAACTCATAGGGCTTGTTTTATCTCTAAAAATGTACCTGGACATCATTGTGTGAAAGAGAGGATCCCAGAGAGACAGATCTTGAAATATAATCACTAATAAAAGAGACTAATTCCTCATTTTTCCTGTCCCAAGTCAGCCTTGTTACTTTCTAGTCCTGTGGCCCCAAAAGAGTTAAAGTAAAGGATATTGGTTCCTGCTGATCAGGCCACAGTGTGACACCTCTTATAGAAGGCACCATAAAACTCCATTATTTAATAGATCTGAGTATTGCACCTGCTATCTTATCTCCTCTTAGGTGATTAAGTTTCCCACAAATGCAATTTGTTAATATGGGGCCATATCTTCTCACAAGGTAAATCTGTGAAATTTGGCAGGCAGTTGCTTTGCCGCAGGTGTAAGATGAAAGACCTTGCCCTGGCTTTGCCAAGAAGAAAAATGATGTTGTTCTCACTACCTGGGAAAAATATTCTGACACAGAGAGTTGATTCCAAAGAAAGGGGAATAGAATTCTAGGGCCCAAATCATGTGCTTCTCTCCCTTTTGGGGAGTATATTACCTCCAAAAGGCTGAGTGGGAGATCAGAGTCTTGTTTTACATGAAGCCAGGTATTGAGCAAATCCCCTTGTTAAGGGAAATCCTCTGATATTTGGAGCTGTAGCCATTTGTGATGATAAATGATGACTTCTACTCTTATGAGCCATGAGAACTTAATTAGAGCTTAATTAAAGCTAATGCTCAGAATCTTTTGGAAGGTGGAGTGATTAAAAACTAACTTCCATATTGAATAGTCACATTGAAAAGTAGTCTTTGAAATACATGGCGTTTCTACCCTGGGGCCCCGTGTAGTCCTGGCTGGGTCTTCATACCCAAGTTAAAGCAAGAGTTGACTATATTTTGCATTAGAATTTCCTTAGCCAAGACTACAAGAGGCCCAGTACCCCGGTCCATCTCACCCCCCTGTGCATTTATGCAGAAGGTTGTTTTTGAATCTGCAAATCCAGCTCGCCATACACATGTCTCAGGGAGTCACTGGTCATGCTGGCTATCAGCTTCCGACGGCCAGACACCCAGGGTCGACACACTTCTTCCCATTGCACAGTGGAGTTGGGCTGGATTTCACTGAAAGGATGGAAAAGAGAGGAAAGGTTTTACTTTCCAGAGAGGCAGATCCAGTTCCCCACCTTGATCAGGAAGCAGTGAGAACCCTTGCCTGAGTCACATGCTCTCTTTCTCTCAGTTGATGGTAGTAGAAGACAGAAGGGCTGATTTTACCAGTTCCAACCCAAATGAGGCCCCTAGATGGGGATGTGCCTGTGACAGACCCGTTGGGTCATGGTTCCTTCCACTTGGATGCATCAATTGGCATCTACTGCCACACAGTAGATATGGTCCATCCAGTGCATGGTGAAGAAGGGCTGAGTCTCCCAGCAGCCATGAGTCAACTGAAGTCTAGCTTGTCCCCCAGCCTCTGCAGTAGCGTCATGGATGTGACTGATCTCCCTTGGCTCATTTTGGGCCACTCTAGTTCCCTCCTGAATTAGACTCCTATCTGAATCCCCAGCTGCCTTTGCTGAGGTCTTGATACTCTTAATTAGTTCTTGCCAATCCCTTTGGGATAGACCTTGTTCCCAGGCCCAAGGTCTGGAACATAACCTTACCTGCTGCCAACTGATGGAGTATTTACATGCTCTATAATTCATAATCCTGTTTAACCACCAAATTGGGTCCCTTTGCCCATGTACCTTTCTACTACTCATTTGTGTCCATCCTGATAATGGGACTGGCCTTTAATGGTTCTGGTATTCTCCTCTTCCTCTGCAGCCTATACACTGAGGTTTTCCTAAGCTTCATGGCCAAGCCCACTCCAGTGAATGACTAAGGTCAATGAGGGTTGGGGAGATTTAGGCTTCTCTGGGGTGCTTCACATATTTTACCCTATAGAAGCCTCAGGGGGAAGTTACATTTAGGTTTTACATGCATGATAGTCCCTTGGGGTAGGTACTATTTGACACACTGAATAGTTAAGAGAAATGGAGGGATAAACAAGTGAGGCAGTTTTTCCAAGATCACACAGCTGTGAATGGGCGGAGATGAGATTTGGACCCAGGTTGTTCTGATTCCCAAATCCATGCTCCTCCATAAAGATGACTTTTCTGATCACTGTGCTAGCTTTTTTTTTTTTTTTCCTATAAGCAAGACAGATGCCCTTTTATTCAGTACTAAGAGCTTCTTGCTTATATTGCTCATAGAGGATTCCTGGTCTCTGCTCTCTGATCCTCAGGGAGAGCATGTACTGGGTGACCTTGCAGGGGATCCTGGGCCAGCACTTCTCTGGGAGGACATCTGGGAGATGAAGGAAGACCACCATGAGTGCCTTAGACAGAAAAGGGACCTGTTTTCATTGGATTACCGAGGCACAACACGTCAGAATTGAAAAGGACTTAGAAATCACTTAGTCCAGCTACCTCATTTATAGGCAAGGAGGATGAGATCCTAAGGAGCCTTATGGAATCTTCCACAGCCATAGCCTGATGACCCAGACCATGGACAAACAAAAATGTGCTGGGGGACATGAAGAGTGTGCTCATGCTAAGAAATGAGGAACATGATGTGCAGAGGAATTCTGTGAATACATCCCTAGTGGAGGGTACTTCCTACTAGTACCATGGAGGGACTGAGGGACCAAAGTAGCAGGGGATGCTGTAGCTTCAGACTGGGGTGGTGGTAGGAGGGGTTACAAGGAAGGGGAACTGCCAAAGAAAGTCTGGAGTGGTTCAAAGGCCTCAGCTATGTGATCCCCTATTTGCCCTTGGGGGCCAGGTCCATAGAGCATTACTTTAAACACAGCCAAAGTACAAGGAGAAATATGGGGCCACATACCTGTGCTTGACCTATTCAGTATAAAGTTAGAAGCCCCAAGTTTCCTCAAATAGACCTAAAACAATATGTATTTTAGATGGCAGTGGATGTACATCCTCTGGGATAGAAAGGGGAAATACCCCAAATCTTTGAAATCTAGACACTAAATAAGAAATCCCTTTCAAACTCTTATACCTGTGCCCAGTGAATTGGGAAAGGCATCTAAGGCCTTGGGGACTCCTCTCTTTGGAACTGCTCCAGGCATTGACTCTGCCGCTGCTGGTCTAAATGTCTCAATTAATTTGGTATTTGCTAATTCTCTTCTTTATTTTTGTTCTTTATAAATGTGGTTCTATAAATTATTTTCACCCATTATATAAAAGCCAAATTGGGTGAAAAGTGCACACACATAACCTATATAGGTATTTTTCAAACTCAGTAAATCGATTTTATGATTCAAGGTTTGAAAAACATTGACCTCACCATGGGTTTCCTCACCTGTAAAAGGCAGACACTATAAAATATTGAATAGAGTGTGGGGGTGCCTGGGTGGCTCAGTTGGTTAAGTGTCTGCCTTCAGCTCAGGTCATGATCCCAGGGTCCTGGGATCGAGCTCCGCATCAGACTCTCCACTCAGCGGGGAGCCTGCTTCTCCTCTCCCTCTGCCTGCTGCTCTGCCTACTTGTGCTCGCTTTCTCTCTCTAGCAAATAAATAAATAAAATCTTAAAAAAAATGAATAGAGTGTGGAGAGAGTGGGGTGAATTACTATTTGCACTGCACTTAGAAGCATGGCAAATATGGCAATTGCCAAGTGTCGTTTAGTGTCGTTATTACTGTTGCTGTTGCTATAATTATTATTATTAGCACCATCACCCTTGTGGTTGTTGCTTCCTCTGCCTGAACTCTGCAAAACAACTAGGAAAGTAAATTCCTCCTGCCTGTTTGCAGAGAAACAGTTCTCTGTCCTTAATTTACGGTGATAAATTCAATATGAATATATGTTTTAAGATATTTATTTTTCAAGCGCTGGGCAATTTTTACCCTGATCCTTTCATTCTTTCTCCTCTGGTTTCCCCAAGTGATCAATCAGAAACACTTTGTAAAATAGTTGTCTTGCTTAAGGATCTGGCCTAGGGCCATGTAATGCAGGTGACTACCTCAAATAGAAACTATAATCCCTGAGCTTCACTTCGTTATTGGCTCTTATTCATAAACCTGGCTCCATAATGATATTCACATATGTATCTCATACATGTTTAGATGTCTACTCAAGACTATCATACAAAGATACTCATACATGAAAATACACATGCATGTCTAAGTATGCATTTATTTATAGATAAATATGTACAGAAAGAGAAAAGAATCACTCACCCATATTGGTAAATGGGGTAATACTGGAATAATCCTATTTGCCTGGGGATAGATGTTGTGATAAATGGTTCTCAGTTAATGTGCTGAGCTATCAAGACATGCTGGCCATTTATCATCTTGAACACACACAGGCAAATGGGATTATTATTACAATAAACTGCAACTATCTATGGGTTGTTCTCCATGTGTCTAGCCCTCAGCTTCTGTCCTACTTGAGAAACTCAAAATTTAAAACAAAATCACAAAGTCAGGGAACTTTTCTCTTGAAATAACTTACTGAACCTGATCATTTTTTAAAGAGAAAAATGAATCTGGAAGATGAATTATTTGATGTTCTGGAAGTATCAAGTGCAGAAACTTGAAAGCTGAGAGTCTGTGGGGGCAGCACTTTCAAGCATCTGAGATAGGTGGGAGGTGGTAGCAGAAGGCAGGAAGGTAAATCATCTCGGAACACAGTTTGGCTCATACCCTGAGCAAGGAGTGAAACACCACTGCTTTCCTCATTCCTAGTTCAATTCCCTGTTCTCTAGCTCCTGCCTTCCAGGCCCCCTGTTTTGAGCTTGACACCCCTTGTCTTCTAGGGCCTTGGCAGGACTGTGGGTGGATAGGTGGGGGTAGTGATTCCCTTGACTATTCAAGATGTGTATCCTAGAAAGGAATCAGTCTTGTGAACAATTCTGCTACTACACAATTGCTCTTTTTAAGGGTCCAAGTTGTTACATGGATCTGCCACTCTTAGATCAGATCTTGGCAGCATAGGGTACCCTGGAGTGCTTATAATTATCTGACAATATGGATGTGGGTGCTGGCTGGCTCAGGTCTTGGTTGTGAATGTGTGTGCTGGAGTCAGAAGGAGACAGAGAAAGTAGTGCTCTCCAAAGTCCCAAACCCACCCTAGATCGTAAATATTTTCCCTCTCAAGTTCTCTCCAATTTTTGACAGTCTCAGAGAAATAAAGCTACCTTTGTGTTGGAGAGATTCACCTCCTGGATCTGGATTCCCATAAGAGATTGAGGACCTCACTTTCTGTCTGTTACCCATCTGCCATAGACCAAGGTGTTGGAAGTAACGACCAATAGTACCTTAAGGAAGAGTGTGGGCAGGGCATTTGCCTTGTATCCATGTAAGGACTGGACTCTCCCATCCTTTCCATGATTCACTCCACTTTACCCTACCCCAATGTCAGATATTAACAATAAGCACCTGGACACTCAACTCACTTAGAGCCCTATGCCTCCCAAACTGTAGGTCATTGCACCGTGTGAGGATTAATCTTTCTTCTAACACACAGATTGTCTCTTTTCATGCATTGGCCTATGATCAAGGTGGGATTTTTGGCACAGCAAGGTGTACAGGTAGGAGGAGGTTCCAGTACCCTCAGATGAGGCTTCCAGGGTTACCATTTGAGAAGGAAAAAATGGATGCAGCGGGGGTCGTTTTGAAGAAGAAACGTGTTTCACTTTGCCTGAGTGATTCTCGCATCTGATTCAAGTGGGAAGGTGCGAGAAGAGGTGAGTGAGGCTGTCGTTTCTGATGAAATCAGGGCTATCACTGCTGACCTCTCCCTCTCACTAAGGATGATTTCTAATTTAATTCTTTTTTTTTCCTTCAACTTTCCTAGTAGCACAGGAAGGGTTGTTATGTTTTGTGCTTGCATTTTTAAAAAAGGACTCAAATTATTTTCTCTGTTGTTTATTGCATTCATGGGCAGCAGTCTCTCTTAGACAATGGGATTGCAGAAGCTGTGAGCACTGTAATTTGAAAGGAATGCAGAGAGCACTTAGTGGGCAAATTGTTCTTTAAAGGCATCCCAGAAGGGGTGAAGGAGGCCTTGGCCTGGTCCCACAGTTTCAGAGGGGGTAGCTTCCAGAAAGGGTGTTAGGGAGATTCCTAACATATTTCGCCATCAGGCACTTTCTGCAGCCCTCCACCTCTCCTTCTATGCTTTAGAAGTTTACCCCACAGAAAATATGCTAGATCGATTGATGCTGACAGGGACTTATTTGTGGTAGAAATGAAAGTATTAAGCCTCAAAGATTGGGATCCATTCTGGGTGTCACACTTTAAGAGGAGCACTGACAAACTGGTGTATGTGGGAAAGGTTGGAGGGGGAAGCTAAAGCCACGTTAGGGGTCAGGAGAGATATAGAGAAGATGTGACAGTTGTTTGCAAACATTTGCAAGGCACCAGATGGAAGAGAGATGGGTTTTATTTTGTGCTGATCCAAGTGACAGAATTAAGATCACTGGGTAGGATCAAAAGGTAGAACTGTTTTCTAACAATGAGAGCTACCTGACTGTGAAATGGGCTGTCTTGTTGGGGGACACTCTTTGTCAGCAGAAGTCACAGAAGCTAAGAAACTATAGGGCACAATCTGACAGTGCTAGGTGTGAATGAAGCAGTCTCATTCATTTTATCATGGAGCCTGAGGTAGTCATTTGTCCCCTAGAGAACCAAGTCTGCAACTCTTTAGGCTTCCCTCTACTCTACAGAAAGCAACAGTTCTAGAGTGCTTGTGTCAGGGAAATCTGGAAGGTGGGGCTGGGAAGAGAGGACCCTTGAAAAGGGACATCTTTCAGCATAATACCTGACACACACTAGGTACTCCATGGATAGTAGTAGAATTGACACCTGAGGAGGTGGTACGGCAGAATGCTTGAAACTTAATTTCTGAATCAGCCACCCTGAGTCTGAATCTGGGCACCTCTCTTATTAGCTGTGGAACTTGGGGCAAACCAGCTGACCTCTCAAAGCCTCTGCTACCCAAAGGGAGATGATAATAGTACCTATCTCATTAGGGTGGTTTTAAGGATTAAATGATGGAAATGCCAGTCAAACCAACCCTACTTTTACCCCATGACTCCTAAAAATGGCCAATAAGAAGGTGGCAGCTTCTCAGACACGTTTAATGGGTGTTAGATGTAAGTTTGGAAAAGACAGAGAAAGCTAAGCCTTCCTACAGTCCCACATCACTTGTCACCTTCTCAGTCCCCACACCACCCCTTACCGGAACATCTTCCTCTTTGGCTTCATCAGTCCAGGACCATCCAGGTGTATCCACACATTCCGCAGAGTTTCTTTTAGAGGATTGGTAAACTCAACTGTCACCACCATTTCAGAACCAACCATCCTGGTGCCGCGGACCTAAGACAGAAGTGGGGGAGAATGCAGCTCATTAGCAACACATAAAACCTTTCTGCTTTCCTGTGTCCTTAGCCATCTTCACTTTTGCTGGTTTTACAGAATGGTTATTTTTTGGCAATGGAACTCGTGTGATGAGGATAGCTGATTGCTTTGACTGGGGGATACCTATTGAGACAAAGATGCAAAATTACTAATTAGGATCACACTCTTTTCCTCATTATAAAAACCACCCTAATTAGAGCTCAGGTTAATAGCCATGACCACCAGCTGCTCTTTCTCAGCAGGAGGTGGAAGTGTATTTGGTGTAGCAACACATTTCCATGGTGAGGATGGCCAGGCAAATCCTGCTTCTGGACAGGACTCAAGTTTCCTGCCAGCACACGGGAGATTCCCGAGTTCAAGAGGAAGAAAATGCTCTAGGGGGCATGAGCCTTCTTCCTTTTAGGCACACTAGAAAGAAATGTGGCCAAAGAGGGAGTCAGCACTGTGGAACTTGAAGAAAAAGAATCTGGATACTAAAATAAGCAAAAAAAAAAAAAAAAAAAAAAAAAAAAGACTTTTCATCTGCAGTTACAACATCTGAGTCCAGGACAGTGTAAGGTCCTTTGTTGGCAAGTTTATCTATGACAAGTCTCAGAAGTATTGGGTATTTGGCAAAGCATCTCATGAGGTGGCTAGAGTTCAATGTCAGTTCGGCACTTACTAGTAGTGAGGCCTCAGGTGACTTACTCAACCTTTTTGAGATTCAGTTTTCCTGTCTCTAAGACTGGACTGACATTCCTATGGGGTCATCAATGTGAAATGCTATTATTATTTGCTCTTAGGCTGTGTTTACTAGGTTCTAGGAATGGAATGCTCTCCCAACACCAACACAATAAACTAGAAAATGGCCATGTGTTCTGGGGTTTGTTTGTTTAGAAGATATGTGTGCTGAATGGATGGACCTGAATAAGCTCTACATAACTTGGGAACAAGATAATAATAATAGTTCTTACCTCAAAAAGAAAAGGGTAGAATGGGATAATGCATATAAAGCAACAAACACACTGTAGGACACAAGGCAAAAGCTCCATACTTTATAGCTCATACTGTTTTTGGAATAGCAATGTTCAAGGTAGTTTGTTTTATTCACCTTATATTTTAGTGCACTTTCAACTCCAATATCTAGCCAGTGCCCAGTAAATATTTGTGAAATCAGGTTAACTGCTTAACAGTGGAATTTTTTGACTGAGTTTCCTATGTAACAACTCGGTCATTCTTATACCCTATTTCTTTAAGTGGCATATACTATAGAAAAAAATCATATGGAAATGAGCCTTTCTTACGAACAGAAGGAAGGAGGAAGGACAATTCCCAGAGAAAAAGACTCTCACTTACTGACTTTGCAGTAAAGAACAGATCTTCATGGGCTTTACTCTTTAAGACACAATTTGTGTCTAAATTTATGTCTATGGAATTTTAAAAATCTATGAGAAAAATGAAAATTGCAGCCAATTCTCCATGTTTATGACATTCAAATCAACACCTGTTGGGTGGGATGAGGGGACTGCTGGGGTCACAGGGATCAGGGTGGAGCAGACAATGATCATGGTGGTGACCACAGCAGAGCACAGATCGTAGGCCGAACGGTTTGTCCAGCGCTTTGCCCGTGGTCTTCAGCCTGCCATGCATACAGAGTCCCCTGGGGAACTTAAAAATCATGGAGGTCTAGGCCCACTCCCAAGCAATTAGCTCAGAACCTCAGGTGGAGCCTGTAATCAGTTTATTGTAAGCACCCCTGTTGATTTCTAGGAGCCAACTTAGAAAACTGCTCCCCAGGTGAAAATCTCTGATGCAGACAAAACATTTAGAAGACAGGCTGAAATTTTCACTTTCTTTCCAGATGTCCTGACTCTATCAATATATATGTTGGAAGTACAGGAGTGCGTTATTAGAATGCTCTGAGTACTCTTGGTTTAATTTTCAAGTATGGCCAACATATTTTTCCTAAGTTGGAAAACAATTTCAGAACACTTTTAGATTTTTAAAAATATAAAGATAATGTTTACAAAAACTGCCTGAATTGGAGAAGGTGGGGCTGCTTCAGAGATGCTATTGGTAAAAGTCTGATCACTTTAATTTCATGGGGGGGGGATATTTTGGAGCCATCTGCTGTCTTCACGGCATGCTATTACAGGTATGGACAGAAGCCCCTTACAAAAATCTGGTAATAGCTACTGACCCTTCCTTAACACACACACAGTGACAAACACAAGATACATACACCTCTCACGTGTGGTTTTAGGGGATTTGTTACAGACCCAGAAGATCTATCCATGGACCTCCCAGGCTCATGGGCTCCAGGTGAACAATGATTTCCATATGGCGAGGCTAGCTCTACGGGAAGATTCTTGCACTGTGGAAAGCAAAGTGTACCCTTCCAGGTCACTTTTGACAGTGCTGGGGAAATTTAGTGTTTGGAAGGCTGCCCTCTGTGCCTGGGTCTTCATGGACAGGCTTTGGATCTGGCCATGATTTGAAGATTAAGCCTTCTCACATAACTTCATGCATCATGCCTAACCAGTTTCCCTTCAGATGTTATCTTTGTAGCCAGCTGCTTCCATGGGCGTATAAATATTCCCTGGGTGTGTAAATATTCCCTGGGCATCCCCGATCCTCAGTGGGCAGGAGGCCACTGATGCAGATGAGGCAGGAGGCCCTGGAGAGGTGGGAGGATGAAAGGAGAGGTCTCTTTTCAGGTTGTAGAGTGTTTCTTTTGCAATTAACAAAGACTCAGTGTCCCTTTCCTGACATTCATCTCCTGCACCCAGAATGTAAACTTCCTTTTCCTGACTACTGAGATGCTAATGAACCCTAGAGACTCAAACCAAGCCAAATATGAAAGTCTGCCTAACATTTAACATCCTTGTTTTCTGTGTAGGGAAACTAAGTGGAGATATTTTCCTCCCTTCTTTTGAGGAAAATGGACAAAGTATTTTCACAGTACGCGTTGATTTAAGTGAGGTGCCATGCTATGGTATCTGCCAAATGCTGAGAAGACCATTGTGGATGAAAATGTCCAAATCTAATTCTTTAAGGAATCTGCACTGTTCCCTTTTCTTTAATGCTGTAAAAATAATTCCATATCATTGTTGTTATATTTCTGAACTTCTCGCTCTTGTAAAAAGTTAAACAAAGGGAGGCTCGAACAATCCAGAGAAGGTTAGGTCAGGAAGAAACTTTTATGTGCACTCACTTCTGAGAAGAGTAGCCATTACTCAGCCCAGAGAAAAGGATAAAGTGTATGTCATTCTTCATGACATCAAAGTCTCTTCTATGTGTTTGATGGTCCTTAGTGTTTTCAATATTCCATTTAAAATATCTGTTTTTATTTTTTAAAAAGATTTTATTTATTTATTTGTTAGAGAGACAGAGAGCACAAGCAGGGGGAGTGGCAGGCAGAGGGAGAAGCAGACTCCCCGCTGAGCAAGGAGCCCAATGCGGGACTCGATCCCTGGACCCTGGGATCATGACCTGAGCTGAAGGCAGACGCTTAACAGACTGAGCCACCTAGGTGTCCCTAAAATATCTGTTTTTAAATATTGACATAGAATATGATGCTTTCCAAGTTAAACATTCACCAATACTGACATACTGAGTTCTTGTCTTTTGTATGACCTCATGATAAATAGCAATTATTTTGATTTTTTGGTGAACGAGAAAGTTACTGATGTGCGCGCGCGCACACACACACACGCACGTAAATTTTGGAAGCAATTCCTTTTCAGAAAATCACAAGATCTCTTCCAAGGAGTATATGCTTTGTAATATGCATACCTGTGTTCAAAACTGAAACTGAAATGAAGGAAAAAAATTTGAGAAAGAATGAATTTAGGTGGCAATTTAATTCACATGATTTAATAGTTCACCTCACGGCCCTTACTCCAAGTGCCATCAATAACGTATTACATGTATTACTGGAAAATAAATTTGTTTCTCCCCTCTAGCCTTGCTGGGAAGAAGTAGTTTCTTATTCATGAACTGTGCTCACATACCAGCACCACTACTGCTTCCAGCTAACTCACTTAGTTTAGCAGTTAGTACATAATACTAATGGTTCTATGGTAGTCAGGCAATGTTCTAAGTCTGCACTGTCCAGTGTGGTAGCCACTGGCCACGTGTGGCTACTTAAATTAAATTAAAAATTCGGTCCTTAATGGTACTAGCTACATTTCAGGTATGCAATAACTACCTGTGGCTAGTGGCTATCATATTGGACAGTGCAGATTTAGAATATTGCCATAATCATAGGAAGTTCTATTGGACAATGCTGTTACGTGATTTACTTATACTGATTATTTAATCCTCACAACCCTATACGGTAGATACTACAAGTCTTTGTTTTCTGGAGGAAATTGAGGTGCAGGGACGCGAAGTAACTTGTTCAAGTTCACATGAATATTAAGTAGGGGAAGTAAGATTGAATGCAGATCTGCTGCCATTCATTGCTTAATCACACCCCCTTCATGGACTCTGATTGGTGGCCGTGATAATAGCACCTGGCATTATTTTTAAAACATTTTTTTTTTTT